GCCGGGATTCGTTTCAGCAAGTAGATATCCATATATTTAAATGGACCTTGTTGGAGCATACGTAATCCTCAAATGTAGCATCGTACTACAGATGGCGCTCACCACGCCATTTGTGGTATTTTCGAAAACGCGCTGTTAAGACAGCAGGTAAAGGTTGACCTGTGTTCTGTCGGAGCTGCTTACGACGCGCTGATGAGATCCAAAAAGATCGAAATCGCGATCCGCGTTTGGCAGTTTCGACAGAATACAGACCACTTCGAATTATTTTGTACGTGTTAGTATTAAAACTTTTATCACAGCACACAGATATTCTTTTTTTTGAATGCAGGATGTACCTATCTATATCGAAAATCCTAATTAAACACTTTCTGAGACCATTGTATTTACTTCAAATTTATTTCAAGCATGGTCGCTTTTAAAAGCATTGGAAGCATCATTTCATTTAAGGAAATACGTGTTAGAAAGGTGTTTTTTACAACTTTCTATGAACTTCAAACATTTAGAATTTATGTAAGTATAAATATTTCATAAAATATCAGATAAGCACTTCTTAAATTTCCAACTGATAATAATTTGTTATTTAAAACAACTTACATAGATTTTTTTGATATTCTTGTAACTACATTTATGAAAGGTAAGTGGGGTAAATAAAATTTTTATGAGAAAGTTTGGAAAAATATTAGTACATATAAGTATATAATTCAATCAGTTTACTGATTTTGCCCCTCAAACATACAGCCTTCATATCTACTTTTAGCTTAGAATCTACATTTTTTACTTTATATTTTACAATTTTTATATGCCTATAACGAAGCGGCAAAGCTTGGTTTTTATTTTTTTATATTACTAAATACAATGAAGCAACCTGGTTTCAAAAACAATTTAAGATGGCCACACTTTGTGGAAGAATATATAATACCTACTTAATGTACCTCTAGGTATTACATTAAGTACCTGCCTATCTATCTACTAGAGAAGAAAATGCTTAACAGATTAAAAGTAGACGAAATGTAAAAGATGTTACCTACACTAGTAGGTAAGTCATTAAATAGGTGTTACTTTTTGAAAATTGGTTTTCAATCAAATCATTTTGTTATGTACACAATATGTAAATGTGAAGTGTTATTATCAACAAAAGATATACTACACGTAACAGAGACATGAACATGAACTAGACCGCGCTTATGTGTAACCGATTGCAGTCAATATGACAGGTAAGGGCTCATCCATAAATTACGTTACACGTTAAGGGGGAGGGAAGGGGTCGACGAAGTGTGACATTGTGTGACAAGGGGTTGGGAAGGGTCCTAAATTTCGTAACGTCACATTTCAAAATTTTCAAAATGTACGTGTTAAAACATGAACTTTGCAATATTAACAAAAAACTTAAAAACATTTGCAACTCTATCTGAATAAACATAGGATTCAAATTATTTTGTCAGCCACTCGCTCTACTTGTGCAGTAAACTAATCGTTTTTTTGTTAATTTCTTGAAATGTTAATTTTATTAAATAATTTAAATAGAAATAAAACTAATTTCGGAACTGCTGTTTTAATCCAATAATTTTTCTGTATATACGAATTTGTACGATATAGCTGTACCACTTTTATGACGTCACCTAATAAATACAAGATCTCACTGATAACGATATGACATATGTCAAGTGTATTTACACATATTTGGTCCATAATTCACAAAAATTGGTAAACTTAATTTCATTTTAATGTAATAGGTGTTGTTATGATTGTGATATTTTAAAATCGATATCTTTATTGTTATACATGGGAATGTGTATTCTAATTCAGAATTTAATTTATGAAGGTTGGACTACATTAACCTTAGGTACTTAGCACATATGTTAAGTATGCATTGATAGTGACTAACTAGATTTAATTTCATTATGTATATTTTTTTCAAATGACGTTATTTAAAAAAAATTACAGCAGAGTACATGCAGTTTTGTAATCTTAACAGGCAACAAGTGTTTTACATACCTACTCACTGCTTAAGACACTTGAAACTTGAGGACGCTTCTAACAAATACAAGTATACATTCATTATTTTAAGTATTAAAAGTAGATTGAATGAACCCCTTTTTGAAGTTTCTCTTTTCGAAATTTAATTTTATAGGTGAGTGTAGACCAATTCAGCCATATTAAATACTTACTTGTGAGCCATGTTTTTAAAAATTTTCTTCCCAAAAAGAAAATTATTTATAAGGAGTTCAGAAACGCGGAAAACTGTATTCTAAATCATGAAAACGGCAAGACTGCTAGAGGAATTTCTGGATCACAAATAAAATTAACTTATAGACCTCTGGCATTATTTTTTTATATTTTTAATCGGTACACTGATCAAGCAAAATACCGAATTAAATAGTAAAACTTTTAACGTGTTAATGTAATTAAAAAAAAAATAAAATTCTTATCTTAAATTATACAATTTAAACGACTGGCCATGTTGGCAGGCTGGCGTGACCCAAGGAGAAGCCGATAGCTAGGTAGTTACTATGTCGTTAAGACTGCCAAAACTATTGTAGTTATGATGTAGTTAAAATATTAAGTAAGTGAAATTATTTCGGTCCCTGTTATGGGCATTTTTATTACATTACTTTTTTTATGAAGCAACCTTCCCAAAAAACGGCAAAGTTGAACTACAACTATCGATAAAATACAAATCAGTAAGATAGTTACGTACATATTTATCTCTGCGGATCATCATAAATATATCTACCTTCGATAGATTTTCTGATTGCGCTTTTCCAAATATACAAAATATCTTTCAAATAATCACTAAATACATATATTTCCTGAACAAAATATTATTAAACTCTTTGAAAATAAACGAAATAGTTATAAAAAAGTAGAGTATATATATGTAACAATCACTGGTGAACCTGGGTCTAAATAATTTTTATGCAAAAATAAGACTGAACCAAAATATGCAACTTAAAATTTACGAAAGTTTGTTTTATTACTTTATTCTTGGTCCTTTATTTGAATTTATGGGGCATGCAGGAAACTGGTCTTCTCAAAATTCCTGATTCGGTTTAATCATCGACAATCGACATCAGGAGCTTTGTAATAACGGAATTACTGTAGTTATAAACTTATGTATGTATAATATTATTTATCAAATGTTGTCTTTAATAGCTTGTAACAACAAAAATTTGCGAAAATATCTACTAAACACCATCAAACACTGTACGACACAAACCGACCGTGTACAATGACGTCACAAAATGGTCCGACCAATGCGATCGCTTGTTTCTGATTTCAAAATAACCGCGCACATGTTTGATTGTTACGATAAAAAACAAACGACTACGTTATGGTTTAATAGTAAAATAGAATTGATTAAAAGCAAAAAAAGCGAATTTGAAATTTCATGCAAGTCATCTATTGTAAGTAGTACAGATTCTATCAGTGTATTATCTAAAAATGTCTCTCGTATTTTAGTATTTACAAAACATAAAGATATCCAAACGTATGGCTTTTTGTACAGAAATGTGCGCCTGCATTGGCAAGGAATTATTGACGTTTCCTTGAGAAAGAATTATGCTCTTAGGCCGTCGTCGAGCTCGAATATTCTCTTATTATTACAGTAGTAAGGAACTATTTTTATAATTACAAGGCTTCAATCGTTTTGATTCGCTTTCGTTAATTACTGTTATAAAAGTAAATTATTATAAAATACTGATTATATGTAAGTACTTCTCAATTTATTTCTAATGTATAATAATTAGTCAAGAAAACCAAATTTTGTCTACACGATTGCTACACACATCGGATTTTGGTTATGTAAATTTTAATCTACGTTAAGAAAATCAAATAATTTTTTATAAGTCACAACCTCAAAACTATCGGTAATCACCTAGCATAAGTATTTATAGACGGAAATGTTCCTTGAGATCAGCTAATTTATTCCTGTTTCCGCTTGACACTATGTTGTACGACACCCTCGACACTCTATGCAGTGGAACTTTTTTAATTTTTAATCTGATTTTTAATATTTTACGTTTACTTTGTTTCATTGCTAAATTACAATTTGCTTATGTGTCCCATATAATTTATTTGCTCTTTTTTGTGCAAAATTATTTTTTTTTAAGGTGTAACTTTCGAACTTTCTTTAGTACAAATGAATGCAGACATTTTTCTGTATATACGAATTTGTACGATATAGCTGTACCACTTTTATGACGTCACCTAATAAATACAAGATCTCACTGATAACGATATGACATATGTCAAGTGTATTTACACATATTTGACATATTTTTTTTCTTTGTATCTGATTTTTAATATTTAGTATTTCTTTTGTTTCATATATTTAATATGTACTATTTTTTGTGCAATGCAGTGATGCGGCATGCATTAGGTGTACCTATACTTAAACATATTTTGTGCCTTTGCATTCCCTTCATTTTGTTAAAATAAATTTACATCTCTGATTGTAAAAGATACTTCCGCAAAATGTGGTTTGTAAGAAATAATTTTTCGGCGAAAGTTTAATCAACTTTCCCCTCCACTAGAATATTACGTACCTATGTAAATTATTTTGTCATTATAGTGAAAACAAAGCAATTTTTATAAATGGTAAATAGCACTTCTAACTACTCATAGTTGTATATCGTTTCCTAGTCATCATAGTATGTCATTGACGCTGTTATTAGTTTCCAACAGATTTTAATTTCAGGCGCATGCTTCCTTTTAATATTAACCATAATTCAGACCATGCTTACTGGTGCAAACTTAGCCATCAGTGTGTATTAATGTGTGACTTGCCGTATTAAGTAATAAGTGACAAAACTTTAAAACGTGTATGGAGTAAAATGAGTGGTGAAACAAAAGAGGTGATTAATAAAAAATCAAGCAGCAAAATAGTTTTAGAAGTTCTTCAGATCATTGCGGAGAGTTTACTTCTCATTCTAAAAATATTTTTCTACATTGGTGAGAGTCTGTACAAAATTCTCGTTCCGCCAACTCTCAAAGAAGTCAAAGGCAAAGTAGTCCTCATAACAGGAACAGGTCACGGGATAGGAAGAGAACTGGCGCTACTTTATGCTGCAGAAGGTGCTACTGTAGTTGGATGGGACCTTAACGACAAAGGAAACAAAGAAACCCAGGAAGAAATTGTTCAAAACAAGTATCAGAAATGTTATTTTTACAAATGCGATGTTTCCGATAGGGAACAAGTATTTCGAACTGCTAAAGCTATGCGGAAAGAAGTTGGAAAAGTGGATATTCTCATTAATAATGCTGGAATCATGCCGTGTCATGCTTTATTAGATCATACTCCCGATGAAATTGACAGAATATTTAAGGTAAACGTTTACGCTCACATTTGGACAATAGAAGCATTTCTTCCTGATATGATGAAGAACAACGAAGGACACATTGTTGCATTATCTTCTTGTGCTGGTCTATTTGGGATAAGGAATTTAGCTCCATATTGCGCTTCTAAATTCGCTGTTGCAGGACTTATGGAAAGTTTGTTTGAAGAACTTCACAGTAATCCCAATAATCGAATACAGTTAACTACACTTTTTCCCTACATGACAAATACAGGACTTTGCCGGAAACCTAAAATTAAATTTGAAAATGCGATGCCCATGCTTGTGCCTAGTGAACTGGCAAAAGAAATTATGAAAGCCCAAAGAAGTGATCAATTTGAAGTTGGTGTTCCTAATTATCTAACGACAGTGAACAATTACGCTAGACTTCTACCGCGTAATGCTCAAATAGCTGTTCAAGATTTTTTTAATACGTACGTAGAAGCGGATTTGTAATAGCATCATTATGTATGTATGTTGCATTGTATTTAAATTTATAGATTAGGTATTATTATTTAAGTTCTTAAAATGTTGAATGAATTTTGTTCACTATTATTAATACCTGTACGTATTAGAAAATACCACAAATGGCGTGGTGAGCGCTATCTGTAGTACGATGCTACATTTGAGGATTACGTATGCTACAACAAGGTCCATTTAAAAATATGGATATCTACTTGCTGAAACTAATTCCGGCGTTTCAGCAAGTAGATATCCATATTTTTAAATGGACCTTGTTGGAGCATACGTAATCCTCAAATGTAGCATCGTACTACAGATGGCGCTCACCACGCCATTTGTGGTATTTTCTAAAACGCGCTGTTAAGACAGCAGGTAAAGGTTGGTCTGTGTTCTGTCGGAGCTGCCTGCGACGCGCTGATGAGATCCAAAAAGATCGAAATCGCGATCCGC